TGGAGTTGGTCGCCTGTGCAGCAGGCGCCCCCAAGTGGCCTTCCTGTTCACTGCTGGGACCATAGGCCGAAAGAATACTCCTGTTAAGTTTACCAAGGTGGGGCTTCCCAGAGAGTTAACAGTCCAGTCCAGAGGCCCAGCGAGCCATTCTACATCCCCCTTTCCCTTTTGGAAGACTGAGATGGAGGAATGCAGGGGAAGTTTTGGGTAGGAAGCAGCCACTTGCCATTAAGTGGCAATTAAATTGCAGCGCCTCTGGGCCTAGTTTTCTTTCCTCTCTCTCCTTTTTTTAGTGATAGAGTCTTGCTCCATCACTTAGGCTGGTGTGCAGTGGTGTGGTCGTAGTCACTGTTACCTCGAACTCTGGGGCTCATGCCATCTTCCTGCCTCAGCCTATGGGTAGCTGGGATTACAGGGTTTTATTTATTTATTTTCTTTCTTTTTTGAGACAGAGTTTTGCTCTTGTTGCCCAGACTGGAGTGCAGTGGCATAATCTCGGCTCACCGCAACCTCCGCCTCCCGGGTTCAAGCAATTCTCCTGCCTCAGCCTCCTGAGTAGCTGGGACTATAGGCACGCGCCACCATGCCCAGCCAATTATTTTATTTTTAGTAGAGATGGGGTTTCACCATGTTGACCAGGATGGTCTCTATCCCCTGACCTTGTGATCCACCCGCCTTGGCCTCCCAAAGTGCTGGGATTACAGGCGTGAGCCACCGCATCCGGCCAGGGTTTTCTTTTTATGAAGAGCCCTGCCCCACTCATGTCAGAGGGCCTCAAGGAGGCAAACACAGGGAGGTTGAAAATGCTGGTAAAACACCTGGCATGTGCACTGCTGTTCTAGCTGGAGGATAGGGGGAAGCACCATGGGACGGCACAGGATAAATCGGGATTAACTCCTCCCTCCCCTTAGCCATTACTCTGAACTCTGTATCCCACGTGCTGCTGCCAAAAACAACTTTAAACACAAATCTGAACATGTCATTTCCCAGCTCAAAACCCCAAGGTGGTTTCTCCTCACCTTCAGAATGAGCCAAACGACTCAACAATAGGTTCCAAATCTGCCTTTCTGGTTTCACTCATGGGGTGGACCCTTCTTCCAGGCGAGGCTGCATTTGGACATAGCCATATTCACGACCCCCTGCCTTGGCTCCTCTGCTTCTCCAGCCAGGAATGACCTGACCTCATCTCTGCGCATCTCAGCACGACTTAAAGCCCAGCTCAAGCTCCAGCCCCTCCCTGAGGTCCTCCTAAGTCTTGCCTCCCGTCGCACTCAGTAGGCCTGGCCTGCGCCCTCTCTAGGTTCCCACAACCCTTTCCAGCTCTGCCTGTAGCACGGTATTCTGTCTTCTGTGACTAAATACATATATATGCCTAACACTCTCTAGATTGTAAAGGCCTGGAAGGTGGGGAGCGGGTCCATTACTGAATGCATCTTTCATAGCTCTCCCTATCAGGTCCCTGCCCTATGCAAACTTTTTTTTTTTTTTTTTGAGATGGAGTTTCACTCTTGTTGCCTAGGCTGGAGTGCAACGTTACATTCTCGGCTCACTGCAACCTCTGCCTCTCAGGTTCAAGCGATTCTCCTGCCTCAGCCTCCTGAGTAGCTGGAATTACAGGTGCCTGCCACCATACGCAGCTGATTTTTTTGAATTTTTAATAGAGATGGGGTTTTACCACATTGGCCAGGCTGCTCTTGAACTCCTGACCTCGTGATCCACCTGCCTCGGCCTCCCAAAGTGCTGGGATTATAGGTATGAGCCACCACACCCGGTGCCCTATGCAAACTCTTAATAACAACTGTTTGTGGAATGACTTGGGAGGTGGCACTCAGAGATCCCAAGTGACACATGAGAAATCCAGAGAGCGATCATGTTTGTGGAGTCTGGATGGTTGCTTCCATCAATGGGCCTGTACCTTACAGATACCGTCTCATTATCTTCCAAACAGATTCCGGGTCAGTGATTATTACCTCCCTCTTATTGGTGTAGACTCAGCCAAGGGAAGCCAGATGGTGAGTCAGAATCGTAACTTTCCCTCTCAGCTGCAGAGCCCTGCTTTCTCCCCTCCTGTTTGGTCCTCTGCTTCCTCTTGCATGCTGTGAGAGGCCTCATTACTCCTCTTCTCTCCTCCAGCCCCTCCAAGCCTAATTCATCACCTTTGACTTAGGGATCATAGTTTCCAAACCAAGGATTTCTAAACATTGTCTGACAATGCCATTTTTTTGGGGGGGAGGGGCAGGGTCTTGCTCCATGGCCCAGGCTGGAGCGCAGCTGTGCAATCAGGGCATACTGCAGACTCGGCCTCCCTCGCTCCGGTGATCCTCCCTCCCAGCCTCCTGGCTGGGACTACCGGTGTGCATCACCACACCCAGCTCATTTTCGTATTTTTTGTAGAGACGGGGTTTTGCCGTGTTGTCCAGACTGGTCTCGAACTTCTTGGCTCAAGTGATCCATCCTACTTGGCCCCTCAAAGTGCTGGGATTATAGGCATGAGCCACCTCAACTGGTGACATTGCCCTTGGTCTTTAAGAGATGATGGTTTAGGCTTTGAAATTGGGGTTGTTTGTGAAAACTGAGAGTGTTTTTGGTCTCAGATACTTTCTATGGCCATTGGTGTAACTGGAGGGAAGCTCTCGCCATATATAATATTTTTCAGGCAGCCAACTAAGAAACTGGGATTCTGGTTCCCTCCAGGGCACAAAATCCTGTGAGAAAGAAGTGAATTCTCAGGGGCCCAGAAGGATTCTCTGCCCCTCTGCCAGTCAATTCCAATCTCTCTTCTCCCCCTCAAGTCAGCCCCCGCTCCTCCCCTGCTTCTGGCTCTTTCTCAGTCTCTCCTGGATTCTCCCCCTCTGGAGAGCCTGAGCTCCCGGCCACCACCAGCCAACACCGCTTTCTGCTTCCTCTGCCTCCCTTCATCTCCCTTTGTCTGGGGTTTCTTTGTCTGGGGTCTCCGTTTGGTTCTGTTTCACAGTTCTCAGCCTCCCCTCCCTTTCTCCCTGGCCAGGCTGCTCCCTCCCTCTCTGCGGGGGCCTCAAGGCTTGGTGAGGGGAGCGGGACTTGGTTGCCATGGTCACATCGAAGCCAGCCGCAGCTGGCCCGGGCAGCTGCTCCTGGGCCCGGGGCTCCGGACTCTCGGACAAAGCCAGGCGGCTTTGGCAGCCCCAGACCCGAAACCCCAAAGGCCTGAGACTGGGGGGACTTGGACCTAGGAGAATCCTGAGCTGGAGGTGAGAGGGAGGAAGCCAGAGCTGAACTGGGAGGGCAGGAGTGGGTGCTGGAGCTGGGCCCTCCCCTTGTGGGCAGGGACCAGGCTTCCTGGCTGGAGGTGCGGTGGGAGGAGGGGATCTGCCCAGAGCTCGGCAGGGAGGAGGGGAGGGACCGGGAATAGAGCTGGGGGTCATGGTGTGGCAAATGGGCTGAGGGGCTAGGGTGTCCCCAGCGGGGGGCTGTTGTCCAGAAACAGGTTAGATTCTCTTTGGGCCTCATGTGTCCATCTGTCCCGCAGGTGCCTCTTCCTTTCTCAGCCTTTTATACTTCTCATCTCCCCACGTCCCTTAGCTTCACGCTCTGCACCCCAGTCTCCTCCTCTTTCCTTCGACTTTGTTTCACTGCAGCCCCTGCTCTCCCCTTGTCCTTGCTTCATGTCCCCTTGGTCTGTGTGCACAGCTCCCAGCCTCCTCCTCAGTTCCCTGCCTTAGGCTTTGTTCCCAGCACTGTTTCCCCTCTGAGTCCACTGCAGTTCCCTTATCCAGTTCAGCCCTTTTCTTCCCAAACTTCAGTCTCCTCCTCTGAGCCCCTGGGGCTTCCCACCTCCTTGCGTCCTGTCTCCATCCTCCTTTTCCTCTCTCGGAGCCGTCTGCTCCGCCTTGGCCTCAGTCCATCTCCCGTCTCTCTGGGAGTTCCCTCACCATCGTCCCCATCTGGCCATCAGCCTCCCCTCCCTCCTCTGGTCCCTTGCCCCTTTCTTCCCCGTCCCCCAAGCTATCCACAGCTGAGCGCTGTTTCATCTCTCTCCCAAAGCTACATCATCTCCATCTCCTCCTTCACTCCCTGGCCTCAGTTTCCAGTTTGTATTCAGTGGCATCAGGTCTGACTCACACCCAAGGCTCTGTCCACTCTTTCACCCTGCCCCCTACCCATCACTTCTCACTTCCCCCAGCTGCTGACCCAGCCTGCTCCCCCGGAGGCAGCTGCAGCTCCGGGAAGGGGACTGCGGTCAGTGGTTAGTGTATGCGTGGGGGCCCATCTGGTCTATTCTCTCGCTCCTGGTCCTCCTGGGCTTCCCTCCTGTGGCCAGGCGGACTGCAGGCCTGAAGCTGCCCTCTCCCCTCTCCTACGTGCCTCTTCTCACATTTTTTCAGCTGTTTCCCCTCCTCTCCTTCCTGGGCAGGAGGATGCCATTGGCTTGAAGGGGAGGGAAGCCCAGAATGGGAGGGCATGGTAGAGGGTCATTTGGGGGTTCTGCGGGACACGGGGGGCCTCTGGGATTGGGAGTGATGCAGGAGATATAGGACGGGCTCTGGGGATCACGGATGGGGGATCAGACCCTCTTGGTCTTTGGTGCCACTCTCTGGGCCCCAGGATGGCTGGGATTTCCCTCTCAGGCCCCTGGGAATCTCGGCTCCGAGTCCTGCATTCCAGCTGGCTCCAGCTCCCTTTCTGTTGTCACTTGACTCCACTGGGCCCCAGCCCTGCATCCCTCCCACTCCTCCAGCCTGGAGCTGGGGCGAGGTGGGCATCACCACTAGGAATTTCTCCTGAGGCAGTGAGAAGAGGGGACAAAGGTTTCAGGACTCTCTAGCTCCCTCTGCTCTCCCTAGCGGACCCCTCTGTCTGGCACTGCCATGGCACTTAACCAGGGTCAGCGTGGGCCTGGGGTGTGGAATGTCCCACCAGGGTATGACGGGCTGTAGCTTGCCTGGCAGGCCTGTCGGGGCTTTCCCAGAGCACAGCTCCTGGAAGGAGGGGCTGCGGCTGCCAGGTGAGGTGACTTGGGAAGCTTTGGTCCCACCTCCAGCCTGGCCCCACCCCCAGCCCAGCGTCTCCTGGACCTAGATTCCCTAGCTGCTGTCTCCGGAGGGGTAGGTGCTCTGGGGGACTCCCTGGGGGCTTGGTGGGACCGGGAGGTGGGAAGAGGCTGCTCTCTGAGTGACCCTGGGGCTGTCTGTTAGCAGGTCCCTCAGCCGTTGGAACGTCCTTGGGCTTCTGAGCCAGTGCCCATGTGTGCCAAGGGCCAGCTTCTTCCTGGCAGTGCTTTTGTGTACTTGTCTGGTTGGGACTTTGTGTTTCTTTCTTAGAACTGTTGTCTGGGACTGCAAGCAGGGTATGTTTTTATCTACTGTGAGGGGCAGGGGGCGGAGATCTGCAGTGGAGAGGCCGTCCTATGACCGTGACATTGTCTCGGTAGTGAGCAGGGGTAGGGGTTTGGAGAGAGGTGAGGGGCTGAGGTAGTGCTGAGTAGGGAGAAAGCACCTCCCACCACAAGCTGTTCTGTCCCCTCCGCCCTCTGCCCAGTAGCTCTGCCATTTGCTTTGCCTACTCAGTCTCACTGTGTCATCTTCTCTGGGTCTCTTGGTGCCCTTCCTTTTTGACTGTGTCTGATTTTCCCTCTGCCTCCATCCTTCTCCTGTTCCTCTTCTTCCTCCTCCCCACCACCCAACTTGTCCTGGCCTCATTTTTGGCCTCTTCTGGCCAGTGATCAGACCCTCCAGCCCACCAGGGCCGGAGCTGGCTCGGGCTGAGGGAGGCTTGCTGTGAGGAGGACTCCTGACTCCCTTCCCCTCGCCACGCCATTGGGAGCCCAGGAGAATCAGAGCCTGGGAGCCTGGACCCCCGGGTCCCAGAGACGGCCCGGCAGAAAGAGGAACTGGGAGGAGAGGGGAGAGAGGAAGGGGTTAGAAGACCCTGCAGAAAGAGGAACTGGGAGGAGAGGGGAGAGAGGAAGGGGTTAGAAGAGAGTGGGCCCGCCATCAGGCTCTGGGACCTTCCAGGTTGGGCCGTAGGGGCGGGAGCGCACAGGCCGCTGGAGAGGAGCAAAGGTTGGTGGAGTAAGAGCGCTCTAGGGCCTGGCTGGACAGGTGATCCCTGAGCCCGGCTCCCTTCTCGGGGCGAACTCCCGCAGCTGGGCTGGGCCGAGCCTGTGGGAACCTGCTCCTAACTCCTTGCCCCGGGGCTGCTCCCCTTCGCCTCTCCCCACAGGAACCGAGCCCAGAAGTAGGAGGGGCGTCTTCCCCTCGTGGGCCCTGAGCAGGCCTGCAGCCGACCCCCTGGGGCGCCAGTTTTGGAGGTTCTCGTCCGGGGAGGCTGGCGGCTGGGCTGCCTGAGAGCGGCTGGGCGCGCTCGGCGGGCGGGTTACCTGGGGGAGGCCGGGCGCAGGCGCGCGGGGTGGGCGTGGCGGGCGCGGGGCCGGGAGCGCGGCGCCGGGCGTGGGAGCCACCGGGAAGACTCGGTCCGGGAGGGGGAAGGGAGGGCGGCGAGCCCGAACGCGCGGCGACAAGGCCGAAGGGAGGGAGCCGGGCGCCAGGAGCGGGCGGAGGAAGGGAGGGAGCCGAGGCGAGGGGGAGGCGGCGCCTGGGCCCGAGCCGCCCCAGCCCTGGCTCCTCTCCCCGGAACAGGCCCCCGACAGCTGCTCGCGGGAGCCGCCTCCCGACACCCGAGCCCCGCCGGCGCCTCCCGCTCCCGGCTCCCGGCTCCTGGCTCCCTCCGTCTTCCCCGCCCCTCGCCCCGCCGCCGAGGAGGCCCCGCTCCGGGGTCGGACGCCTGGGTCTGCCGGGAAGAGCGATGAGAGGTAGGGAGAGCGGCGGGCGGACCCCGCGGGCGGAGGCCGGGGGCTCTCAGGGTGCGGGCGCGCGGTGGTGGCTGCAGGGCGAGGGGCGGGGGAGGCAGGACGTCCCGGGCAGTGCTTGCTCGTCCAGCTCTTCCAAGCCTCCCTGCCCGCCTCCCCGACACTGGGCTTACAGTCTGAAAACCGGAGGCGGGGGCTGGGGGAGGCGAAGCCCCTGACCTCCCAGCATTGAGGGAAGTCCCCCTTCACTCAGTGTGGAGGAACTGAGCCCCGGGAGGAGGTGCTCCCGTGCGGCCCCACTGAGTCAGCTCATCTGCCCCCTGGAGAGCTGGCCCTGCCCTCTACCTGGCCAGTCCCCGCGGGCATCTACTAACTGCTAAGCCTCCACTCAGCCACGTCCCAGTGGGACAGCCTGGTCACAGTCCAGCAGAAAGAGGAACTGGCACGCTAGCCCACCAGTGACACCGCTCTTCCCGGCTGGATGGTCAGTTGGCTCTGCCATGAGGGAATGTCACTGTCAGTGAGCGCCAGCCTCAGGGTCCCACCCCCCACGCCTGGCTCCTGGCTGGACATTCCTTCCCAGCACTTCCAGCAGCCAGAGGCTGGCGCCCAAGGCCCCTGGCCGTTGCTGAGGGCCTGTAGGTGGGTGCAGGACTGAGGGGTGTGGTGGAGAAGGTGAAAGGAGAGCGACTGGAAAGGCAGGGAAAGGCTGTTGTCCTTATTGCCACTCTTCCCACCCAGCACCCACCTGTTCCCTGCCCCCTCTACCACCCTCTGGCTCGGTCACCCATGTGTGTTAGAGGCTGGGCTCCAGTTCTCTGGGGATCCTGTGCCCAAGGGCTGGGGCGTGTGAGTCTCACACTGTCTTCTGGTCATGGAGCATGTGGTGTCTGTTATTTCATGTTCACAGGTGTCTGAAGGTGGCTATTCACTGAGCGATGGGGTTGGACTTGAAGGAATGCCAAGGTGTGGACGGGCTGATGTGTGCATGAGCTTCTGTGTTTGCCGGGTCTCTGGAACTCTGTGAGGGTTGTCAGAGATACTGAGAGGGGGGTGTGCGCATGCCACATTTAGCCTCGCTGTTTAGAGCCAGCTCAGTAAGTTTGTGTGTCTCACCGTGTATTTGTGTGTGTGTGTGTGTGTGTGTGTGTGTGTGTGTGTGTGTGTGTTGTCTGAGTGGGACATGGGGTTGGGAGAGGAGCATGAAGGGCTTGAGGCGGGGTAGGTGGCCTGGCCCCTGGTTTGTCTTGGTTGTAATGGGGTGGGAGGGGGTGGGATTGGGGAAGGTCTTCTGGGCCTGTCCTCTCTTGCCCTCTGTGTGTCTGACTGTGAGCTGAAGAACCAGTGGAGAGAGAGGAGGTGACTGGGGGTGTTAGAGAATGGAGAGCCCAGATGTCTCTGTGCTTCTCTGTGCTCCTCTGCTTGGCTTTGTGCCCCGTGTTTCTGAGCCTGCTCTATTTACCTCTTGCATCGTGGCTCTCGCTCTGTCTCCCTGTGCCGCCTATCCTCTGCCTGCCTTTGTATCTCTGCCCCAGGCTCCTCTAGGCTCTGAGTGGCTCCGATGACTCATCTGGGATAGGCAAGAAGGTTACTCTGGGGAACAAGAGCCCCGCTGTTCCCGAGAGAGGTGGGGGTGGAGAGCGGCACCCAGGAATTCCGAGCCAGTCTCCTGGGACTCTGGGGGCCTGCTCCCCTGTGCTGGACCCTAAGGGACCAGGCGTGATGCCTGCTGGTTCTAGCCTCTAGCAACTGAGTGCCCCCCACAACTCAGTCATCCCCCTCAGCTGCTGCTTCAGAGCTCTGGGGTCTCAGCTGCCTCTTACATTCCTGCCCTAGTGCATTGTGGGAGCAGCTGGAGGAGGACAAAGGGATGGGGGAGTATCCCCCACTCCTCCTACCTCCTGGGGTGACCTGCCTTCCTTGTCTTTAGACCCGCCCTCATCTCCAAGGCAACTCAGCCTTTCCTCAGTCCCTCAGAGGCAGCCACCTTCTGAAAGTGGGAACTGGGGGGACGGGATGTCTAGGTCTCAGGAAGGCATAGCAGGAGTAACTGGGTCCAGGACGCCCTGGACCTATAAGAGGTGGCAGCAGAGCCCCTCAGGACTCTAGGGCCTGGAGACTTCAGTACAGGGCTCTGGGGCAGGGGAGAGTAGATACTTTCTGAGTTTGTAAGGAGATGCCATTTAGAATGGTTTTAGGTGGGATAAGCTTTCTGGGCCTGAGGAACAGAGTAGGGATTCTCAAACTTTAACGGGCACAGATCACCTGGGGATTGTGTTAAAATGTAGACAAATGCATTTATGTTACAGAATTTAGAAAAATAGTATAATCTCCCTGTCTTTTCTCTTTTTATTTGCTTTTCTTTTGCCTCATTCATGTTAACTCTTGTTACATTGTTAGATTCTATTATATATTCTCTCTCTCTAAGCATAAAAACAGGTATATATGCAAACATGGATGCTCGTTTATTCTATTTTTGAAAGGTGGGGCTGGGTGAGGTGGCTCATGCCTGTAATCCCAGCACTTTGGGAGGCTGAGGCGGGCAGATCACCTGAGGCCAGGAGTTTGAGACCAAAAACGCGGCTCTACTAAAAGTACTAAAATTAGCTGGGCATGGTGGCGGGTGCCTGTAATCCCAGCTACTCAGGAGGCTGAGGCAGGAGAATTGCTTGATCCTGGGAGGCGAAGGTTGTAGTGAGCCAAGATCACGCCACTGCATTTCAGCCTGGGAGACAAGAGCAAGACTCTGTCTCAAAAAAATAAAAATAAAAAAAAATAAAGGTGGGATAATTTTTTAGACTTCTGTAGCTTGCTTTTCATATGCAACAGATGCATGGGCTGGGCACAGTGGCTCATGCCTGTAATCCCAGCACTTTGGGAAGCCAAGGCAGGTGGATCAAGAGGCCAGGAGCTCAAGACCAGCCTGGCCAACATGGTGAAACCCTGTCTCTACTAAAAATAAAAAAATTAGCTGGGCATGGTGGCGTGTGCCTGTAGTCCCAGCTACTCTAGGGGCTGAGGCAGGAGAATCACTTAAACTGGGAGGCAGAGGTTGCAGTGAGCTGAGATCATGCCATTGCACTCCAGCCTGGGTGACAGAGGGAGACTGTGTCTTGGAAAACAAACAAACAAACAAACAGATGCACAGGGAAATTACACTGTTAGGAATTTATTGCCTCTTTGTTACTTTTCATAGCTGCGTAGTAGTCCATAAACTTATTTTTTAAAAAAATTCCAGACTGTCCCCTGTGGGCATTCACGTCTTGCAGATTTATGTCCTTACAAAAGGTGCCATAATAAACATCTTTGAACATATCTTCTTTTTTTCCCTTCTTTTTTATTTTTCATTTGATTTATTTATTTATTTTGAGATGGAGTTTTGCTCTTCTTGCCCAGGCTGGAGTGCAATGGTGCAATCTCGGCTCACTACAACCTCTGCCTCCTGGGTTCAAGTGATTTTCCTACCTCATCCTCCTGAGCAGCTGGAATTACAGGCATGTGCCACCATGCCTGGCTGATTTTTTTTGTATTTTTAGTAGAGACAGGGTTTCTCCATGTTGGTCAGGCTGGTCTTGAACTTCTACCTCAGGTGATCTGCCTGCCTCAGCCTTCCAGAATGCTGGGATTATAGGTGTGAGCCACTGTGCCTGGCTATTTTTTACTTTTCTAAAGAGATGGGGTCTCACTATGTTGACCAGGCTGGTCTTTAACTACTGGCCTCAAGTGATCCTTCCATCTCGGCCTCCCAAAGTGCTGGGGTTACAGGCATGAGCCACCAGACCCAGCCCTGCGCATGTGTTCTTACATCCTGGTGCTTCTCTCACCTCATTTGGGTAGATCATTAGGAGAGGGAATGCTGGGATGAAGAGGATGTGCATTTTTAATTGTAATAGACACTGCTAGATCACTTTCCCAATAGAGGATAACACTACATTTCTGCCATCGAGCATGGTGCCTCCCTTTTCATCATTCTCCACCACTTGTATATGTTACAGCCTTAAAAAATATCTTGTCAGCCGGGCGTGGTGGCTCAAGCCTGTAATCCCAGCACTTTGGGAGGCTAAGGCGGGTGGATCACGAGGTCAAGAGATCGAGACCATCCTGGTCAACATGGTGAAACCCGTCTCTACTAAAAATACCAAAAAAATCAGCTGGGCATGGTGGTGCGTGCCTGTAATCCCAGCTACTCAGGAGGCTGAGGCAGGAGAATTGCCTGAACCCAGGAGGTGGAGGTTGCGGTGAGCCAAGATCGCGCCATTGCACTCCAGCCTGGGTAACAAGAGCGAAACTCCGTCTCAAAAAAAAAAATATATATATATATATCTTGTCAATCGGCTTGGTATTTCCCTGATGCTCGTGAATTTGATCATTAAAAAAAAAGTGTTTGTTGGCAATTTGGCTTTGCTTTTCTATGAAATGACTATTCACATTCTTTGGCTGTTTCTTTGTTGGGTTGCTTATATATTTTTTCTTGTCAGTTCCTAAGGGGCCTTAGTTTATAGTACTTATTAACCCGTTTCCTGCTGTGTGTGTTATAAAGATTTTTCGTGCACTTGTTTCTCCTAAGCCATTGTTATTTTGCCCGTTTTTGATTGGAGAAATGGGGCTTTAGGAAGTTATCTGATTTCTGCCCCAGTTCCTTCATGTGTTAAATATGGAGAGTAATAGTATCTACCATATGAAGTGACTGAAGATAAAATTATGGATTCTGTTTAAGGGTTTAGGCCAGTGTCTGGCACAGGGGAAGCATTCTAAAAATACAGCTGATGCTGTTAAACAATGACTGTTGTTGTCGTTTTACTGTTATTATCCCCAAAGTGGCCCATTCTGTCTATTGCTGTCAGCTATGACTCAATCCCCCTGATGAACTTACCCACCACCCGTTTTATCCCCTGCAGAGATGCTGCCCCCACCCCCTTAGGCCTGCGGGATCAGGAGCTATGGGGCCAGGGGCCCTCTTATCTTTACTGCTGCTGCTCTTGGTGGCAACTGGAGATGCTGACATGAAGGGACATTTTGATCCTGGTGAGGAGACTGAATCATGGGTCCCTGAGGGACAGGGCTTGGGAGGTAGAGAGTTGGGGGCCTTGACCTGTCACATGCCTGTTTTTTACTCAGCCAAGTGCCGCTATGCCCTGGGCATGCAGGACCGGACCATCCCAGACAGTGACATCTCTGCTTCCAGCTCCTGGTCAGACTCCACTGCCGCCCGCCACAGCAGGTACTTAGCACACCTGGCACAGCTGCAGCTACCCCGAGGGGAGCTCCTGGGACCTCAACTTCCCCTCCAATCCCTCTGCCCATGCCAATGAAACCCCTGAAGTCTGAGGGGGCGAATGAAGTGGGGTTTAAGTACTGGAGACAGGGGCGGACCTGGGGCCAGATGTTCTCTGTGCCCCCTTTCACCCTCCCAGGTTGGAGAGCAGTGACGGGGATGGGGCGTGGTGCCCCGCAGGGTCGGTGTTTCCCAAGGAGGAGGAGTACTTGCAGGTGGATCTACAACGGCTGCACCTGGTGGCTCTGGTGGGCACCCAGGGACGGCATGCGGGGGGCCTGGGCAAGGAGTTCTCCCGGAGCTACCGGCTGCGTTACTCCCGGGATGGTCGCCGCTGGATGGACTGGAAGGACCGCTGGGGTCAGGAGGTGAGGCTGGCACGGGCAGCACCCAGAGGAGGGTGTCTCTTCTGACTTCCAGCTGTACTTTAAACACCACCTTTACACTGACGACTCGCCAGTGTATTATCTCCAGCCCAAGCCTCTCACCTGACCTCCAAACAGTATTGTAAACCTGGCCACGTTTTGGACTTCTCCACCTAGATGTCCATTTTTTTTTTTTTAAACAGATGGGATCTTGCTATGTTGCTCAGGCTGGTCTTCAACTCCTGGGCTCAGTGATCCTCTCACCTTAGCCTCCCAAAGTGCTGGGATTATAAGCACTTGTAGCCAGCCACCTAGATGTCTAATAGGCATCTCAAACGTACCTTTAGCTTCCCAAGTTGAATTTGATTCCCATTCACACCCTAACCCTGCTCCTCTCCCGGCATTCTCCACCTCAGGAATTGGTATCACCATTGCCTGGTTGCCCAGCTGTATGCTAAGATGATGTCCTTGATTCCTCTTTTTCTTTCACCTCCTTCCAAAGCAGCAGCCCAGTCTGTTCTACCTCCATGGTGTTCCTGAACCCAGACACTCCTCATCACCCCGCCTCTACTGCCCTAGGCCACCTGCCCACCATCTCCAGCTTAGATGAGGGCAGTAGAGATGCCAGATGGGTCTCCCTGCTCCTACCCTTTTCTGTCTGGAGTCAAATCTCCACCTGGGGGCTGCATCCAGTGGACCTTAGCGCATGTAAATCAGATACATCACCCCTAGCTTACATGCCTGTGCTGGTTTTCCACTCTGCCAGAACAAAAGCTGAGCCCATAGCTGGGTGCAGGGTGCTCAGCCCGACCTCGCTACCGCCTGCCTCTCTTGCTCCGTGTGCCTCCTTGGCCACACTGCCTTTCTTGTTGTTGCTGGAACACGCCAGGGCTCGTTCCCACAGCTTCCGGACATTTTCTGTTTTCTCTGTGCCTGCAAAGCTCCTCCCCCAGATAACCACAGGCTCTCCCTCCATTCAGTTCCCCGCCAGGTGTCACCTCCTCAGAGAGCCTTTTCTGGCCACCCACTTCACTGCTCTGTCCATACACCCTGCCTCCTTTTCTTCACAGCGTTTCCGCTGCTGGGATCTCAGTCCTGCAAGGGCAGGGACTGACGTTCACCATTGAGAACGTGCCTGGCACAGAGCGGGCAGTCAGCCAACTTCTGCTGAATGGACAGAGGGAATGGGCTAAAGTGAAGGGGAAGCTGAGGCAGGGGTGCAGCGCTGGGAGGATTGGGGAGAATCTGGGAAACGAGATGACAGGCTTGGAGACAAATGGATGGAGCCAGGCGAGAAGAGGGCAGCTGAGCCTGGAGTCTGAGGACGGACCATCAGAACTGCGAGAGGGTCAGAGGTCTCAGCTGCAGACCTTTGGTTTCACCCATGCCTGGCTGCACCCCACAGTGCTGTATGCTTGGCACCACCCCTCACAGGTCTCCAAGTGGCCACTGCGGGCTGGGCCAAGGAGCAGCTAGTGGCTGGGAAGTTAGATCTGACCTGGACCCTATCCCACTCACCCCCCGTTTCCTGGCCCGCAGGTGATCTCAGGCAATGAGGACCCTGAGAGAGTGGTGCTGAAGGACCTTGGGCCCCCCATGGTTGCCCGACTGGTTCGCTTCTACCCCCGGGCTGACCGGGTCATGAGTGTCTGTTTGCGGGTGGAGCTTTATGGCTGCCTCTGGAGGGGTGAGTGGCTCAGCTCCCTGAGAATCTGTTTCCTGCCTCGGGGACTGGATGGTGGGGAGTGTGGAGAATGGGGATCCAGGATCCCCTTTCTCCTGCTGGGAAGCTGTCATTCCAGGGAGGGGGCTGGCCAGCATTATCTCCTCTGTGCCAGTGAGCCAGTGGAGAGATACGAGAAGGGACCTGAAACCTGCCCAGGCCTGATGCAGGGATGGGGACGGCTCCTTCGTGCCTCTGACCCTCATCCTCTCACCCTGCCCCAGATGGACTCCTGTCTTACACCGCCCCTGTGGGGCAGACAATGTACTTATCTGAGGCCGTGTACCTCAACGACTCCACCTACGATGGACATACCGTGGGCGGGTGAGAAAGGCCCCTGCAGGGCATGGAGTTTGGGATGGGAGGGAGCACTGTGTGTGTGTGTGTGTGTGTGTCTGTGTGTGTGTAATGGGGCTGGTAAGTAGGCTGTGGAGTGAGATGGAGGAACTGAGAAGAGGGATGTGTTAGGTGAGGCCTCAAAGGGTGGGACTATGGTGACCACTAGCCCATGTGACGGTGAACAAAAAAGGCACCCCTTTGCTAACACACATTGTTGGAAATTGCCGCAATAAATATGCACATCATAGATTGAAATGGTGCCCCTTGGAGGTGGTGCCTTTGTGCTGGATGTGACCTGCAGAGTACATGTGATCGTGCTGGGGCAGGGGTGGAGAGAAGAGAAGGGCCAGCTGCATGAGCATGGGGTGGGGTGGGAGTGGGATGGGTGGATGGGAGCCGGGCTGGCCAGGCCACTGGGCAGGGGGGCGGTGTGGGTGCACAGTGCTGGATGTCAAGACCCTCTTCCCTTCCAACCTCCTCTTCCTTGGTCCCCTCTTCTGCAGACTGCAGTATGGGGGTCTGGGCCAGCTGGCAGACGGTGTGGTGGGGCTGGATGACTTTAGGAAGAGTCAGGAATTACGGGTCTGGCCGGGCTATGACTATGTGGGATGGAGCAACCACAGCTTCCCCAATGGCTACGTGGAGATGGAGTTTGAGTTTGACCGGCTGAGGGCCTTCCAGGCCATGCAGGTGAGTGAGGCCGGCTCTTGAAGAGGGCTCTGAAGCCATGGTGGTGCTGCTGGGGTGTCCCCAGCACTCTCCTAGCCTTGACCCTGTGCCCTGTTCCCTTCCCCCCCAGGTCCACTGTAACAACATGCACACGCTGGGAGCCCGCCTGCCTGGCGGGGTGGAATGCCGCTTCCGGCGGGGCCCTGCCATGGCCTGGGAGGGGGAGCCCATGCGCCACAACCTAGGGGGCAACCTGGGGGACCCCAGAGCCCGGGCTGTCTCGGTGCCCCTGGGCGGCCGTGTGGCTCGCTTTCTGCAGTGCCGCTTCCTCTTTGCTGGGCCCTGGTTACTCTTCAGTGAAATCTCCTTCATCTCTGGTAAGCCCTGGAGTAGCCCCATCCCCAGCCCCTGAGATTGACAACTGATTTAATTCCTAACTCTCCAGTGCTCCTAAAATATTCATTGCTCGCATAATATTTACCCATCAGCTACAAGGCTTCTCAATTAGGGATGCCCCAAATGGCTTGTGCCCCTTTCTGTCTCTTGCTCTCAGCATATCTGTGTTTCCTTTGTAAGCCCCTCGCCCGTGACTGTTACTGAGCCAGTGTGATAGTACTGGTTGTTAAAATATTGAAATACTTCTGTATTACTTGAGAAATAGCCTCTTCTCTAAGCCTCCAGATACCCACCCTCTGCTTCCCCACAATCCAGCAACTATAGGGTTAACACCCACCACAGCTGGGGACTTCCAGGACCCTGCTCCCCCAGCTGCCACTGGTCAATGCTTGCCTATTGAGAATCAAATTTGTGAAGTGGACCATATTAAAAAAAAAAAAAAGAATCACCCCTGCTTCTGTTCCTTTGTACAGCAATCCACTGCCCCCCTCCCCTCCCCCCCGGCTTTCCCCCTCATTTACCTCCCTGCTTTCTTCTGTTCCTTCTCCCAGATGTGGTGAACAATTCCTCTCCAGTGCTGGGAGGCACCTTCCCGCCAGCCCCCTGGTGGCCACCTGGCCCACCTCCCACCAACTTCAGCAGCTTGGGTGAGCAGCCTTGGGTGGGAGTGTGGACCCTCTGCACCCTTCTCCCTGGGCCTCCCCCTCTGCTGGGGTGGGAGCTCCCTGTGGTGCTGACCCTGCTGCCTCCTCCAGAGCTGGAGCCCAGGGGCCAGCAGCCCGTGGCCAAGGCGGAGGGGAGCCCGACCGCCATCCTCATCGGCTGCCTGGTGGCCATCATCCTGCTGCTGTTGCTCATCATTGCCCTCATGCTCTGGCGGCTGCACTGGCGCAGGCTCCTCAGCAAGGTGGGCACAGCCGAAGCATGCGGGGTGGCGGGGGGAGGCCAGGCCCCAGCATGAGCCAGGGTCCAGTGGGGCCTGCAGGGCACAGCCCACTAGCATCCCAAGAGGAGGGCTTAGTAAAGAGACCACTTACACCATGTCGAAGGGGGTGTGGGGCTCAAGGAGGGCTGCTCCCCAGCCCCGGGCCTGCTAAGCAGAGAGGAGCTGGCAAATACCAGGACCTGGAGGAGAGGGTCTGTGGAGAGGGCACCTTGACAGGGGCAGTAGACTTTGGTTCTGGGATGCAGCTGGCCCGTGTCTACCCCTCAGGGAGGGCCTGGGAGAATAGATACCCTGACCTCACTTTCTGCCCCAAACTCCTGCTGGGCTCCTCTCTGGCCACCCCAAACCAGGTCTGTTGGTGCAGTCCCCACTGCTCAGCCTTGAGGCAGAAGCAGGGTGGAGACAGGTGGAGAGTGGGGCTGGAGGGGCAAAGGGAAGGCGTCTGGCACACCCCAAGCCACATCTTCTAGCTGAAGTCCAGTGGCAATGATAATATATTAAGGTTGATGGCTGGGCACAGTGGCTCACTCCTGTAATCTTAGCACTTTGGGAGGCCAAGGCAGGAGGATCACCTGAGGCCAAGAGTTCGAGACCAGCCTGGCCAACATGGTAAAATCCCATCTCTTCTAAGAACACAAAATTAGTTAGGCATGATAGCTTATGCCTGTAATCTCAGCTACTCGGGAGGCTGAGGCATGAATCTCTTGAACCCGGGAGGCGAAAGTTACAGTGAGCCAAAATCATGCCATGGCACTTTAGCGTGGGCAACAAGAATGAAATTCCATCTCAAAAAAAGTAAAAGATTGATAGTTACGGACTGGGCAGATGAGGGTTAGAATCCCATTGTGGGTCATTAGGGAAGTTACCTCCATGCTCTTGAGCCTCGCTTTCTCTACCTGTGAGATGGTGCTGATGCTGTCTACAGTGGTGGGACTCCTGTGAGGGCTGAGGGAGGGAACGTGGAGATGCACGCAGCGGCGGAGCGCCAGGCTGTGTGTGCCGAGCAGCATGGGTGACGCCTCCCATCCCCATGACAAGGCTGAGCGGCGGGTGTTGGAAGAGGAGCTGACGGTTCACCTCTCTGTACCTGGGGACACTATCCTCATCAACAACCGCCCAGGTCCTAGAGAGCCACCCCCGTACCAGGAGCCCCGGCCTCGTGGGAATCCGCCACACTCCGCTCCCTGTGTCCCGAATGGCTCTGGTGAGACCCACCCTGTTCCAGTCGCATCTCTGTTCTCTCTGCTGTTTTCTTATGGTATCCCTTTCCCGTTCTTTTTTTTTTTTTTTCTTGTCTTCCCCAGTTTCTACTTGTTTTCTTCTCTCTGTGCCCCTGGTTACTGTCTATATCACTCCTTGTCCCTACCATATAGTCTCTCTCCAGAGTTCCCCATGTATTACCCATAACCCCCCGTGGTCCCATCCTGTCTGTGTCCCACAGACATCTCTCCTTGTACCCTCTCGTCGTGTCTCCCTGGCCCCTCTGCTTTGTATTAGACTCAGTCCTCCGTCATCTTTCATTCTGTTTAAATTCATAAATCTATTCATCCATCCATTCACCCATATCCATCATCCATCATCCATCATCCATCATCCATCTATATTCACACATCCATTTGTCCATCTATTGTCCATCCATCCAACAAAATATCAGTTTACCATCCATCCATCTATTCATATGTCCCATCTGTCCATCCATTCACTCTCCAGCCAGCTGTCTGTCACTCTGCAGGTCCTTGTTTTATGTTGTCTGTCTCTTAATGCAATCGTCCCGTCAGCCCTGGTCTTGCCCTATTCAAGGTCTCCCTGTCTGTCTAGCCTTGAGTCTCATCCCTTCCCCGTGTTTCCCCTCCTCCTTCTCCCGACAGCGTTGCTGCTCTCCAATCCAGCCTACCGCCTCCTTCTGGCCACTTACGCCCGTCCCCCTCGAGGCCCGGGCCCCCCCACACCCGCCTGGGCCAAACCCACCAACACCCAGGGTAAGCCCCTCTGCCCCTGGGCTCTGCCAGGCTCCCCATACCTCTACTGGGGCAGGGAAAAGCCCTCACACCTTGCACTTCCTCCTCTCCCCACTGTGGCCTATTCTGCTCTCCTGAGCTCCCAAGGAGGAAGCTCTTGTGCCCTTAGCTCATCTCTGCTGCTGCTTGCTCTTTTTTAAGGCCTCGCCCTTGAGCTGAGGAGTAGAAAGCTTACTGGTCCCAGCTCTTCTCCCTCCTCCTCTTCCACACCATCTCTTCGGCTCTCCAGAGCTAGAGAGGAGGTTGCTGTGGTGGTCCCCAACTCATGTAACTCCTCCTTTATTCTCCCCTCTCTAGAGCTGGGAGGAGGAGGGCTCTCACCCCGGGCGCTTGCCCTCTCCCCTACATGTGTCCTTTCTCTGCAGTCCCAGAGGTGAAGGCTCATGCCCTGACCCTTTCCGTCTGCCCCTCCTCTCCTTGGTGTTGCCTTCTCATTGTGGCCCCTTCCCCAGGGCTAAGAGGGGACAGCTCTGCTTCCTCTCTTGTCTGTAGACAACTCGTGTTGGGGCTGTGAGCAGCTGTTACCCTCCCGCTCTCTGTGTGCCTCTGTCTCTGCTTGTTGTTGAGCTTGGTGTGTTGGGTTGAAAGGGTTGGGAGGGCTTGGCTGGGAGGAGCCAGGCTGAAAGCTTCAGGAGAGAAGCTAAGTGAAGGGGAGGGAGCTGGTGGTGAGCGGGACCAGGGTTTGGAAGGTGGAGGGTGCCTGGATGCTGGGACCGTCCTGAGGTTCGTGGATGAATTTTTCCAGCCAAGACTTATCTCATGGTCTTTTGAGAGACCCTAGGGAGGCCCTACAAAGTAATACTGTATGACAGATTTGCTCAGCCATACTCATTGCCTTGAAAACCTCTGGAATAGCTAACTCTCATCCCATGCCAGTGCCTTCCTGGTTTGAGGTCGGTGCATGGAATACCGGGAGGATACAGCATAGACCCAGTCTCTCACTGGACTGGGAGACTCGGGGCCCTCCAGAAGGCTGAGGCGGGGAGAACTACAGCTCTTGGGCTGTTCCTGACGCCTCGTCCTGTCTTCTTTCCCCTCATTCCTGCAGCCTGCAGTGGGGACTATATGGAACCTGAGAAGCCAGGTGCCCCGCTTCTGCCCCCACCTCCCCAGAACAGCGTCCCCCATTATGCCGAGGCTGACATTGTCACCCTGCAGGGCGTCACCGGGGGCAATACCTATGCTGTGCCCGCGCTGCCCCCAGGGGCAGTCGGGGATGGGCCCCCCAGAGTGGATTTCCCTCGATCACGGCTCCGCTTCAAGGAGAAGCTTGGCGAGGGCCAGTTTGGGGAGGTAAGGAGGGTGCCTACCCAGCCATCAGTCATGTCTGGCCCTAGTGGGTGCTCTGATGCCACGCCTACACATCCCCGCCCAGGAACCTTCGTCATTTGTGACCATGTTAACTTGTTTGACCCTGTGACTGCCCAGTAAATGAGCTGCTTTCTCCAGGTGCACCTGTGTGAGGTCGACAGCCCTCAAGATCTGGTCAGTCTTGATTTCCCCCTGAACGTGCGTAAGGGACAGCCCTTGCTGGTAGCTGTCAAGATCTTACGGCCGGATGCCACCAAGAATGCCAGGTGAGGACCAGGGATGGCATCTGGAAGAAGGGAGGGGAGGCCATGAAGAGTGGGGAGCCACCTAGAGAGAATAATAGCAGAGCCCAACAGAGGGGTGGCATCTGGGGGAGGGGATTTGCGTTTACGCTGGGGGTGGGAGCGCCTGATCCACCTGAGCAGGAGGGGAGGTGCAGGCCACCCACTTGGCTCTCCTCATCACCTCCCTGTTCTCCAGGAATGACTTCCTAAAGGAGGTGAAGATCATGTCAAGGCTCAAGGACCCAAACATCATCCGGCTGCTGGGCGTGTGTGTGCAGGACGACCCCCTCTGCATGATTACCGACTACATGGAGAACGGCGACCTCAACCAGTTCCTCAGTGCCCACCAGCTGGAGGACAAGGCAGCCGAGGGGGCCCCCGGGGATGGGCAGGCTGCGCAGGGGCCCACCATCAGGTACCTGCCTACCCAGGCTGGGCCTTGCTGAGAATTCCCCAAGGGGGTCTCCTCATCTCCCCTCATTCTAGCCTGGGAGAAGAGAGGGGATTGTGGGGTGGGGAAGGCAGGGAGAGGTTCCAGGAAGGCCTGGGATGAGGAACATGTGACAAGTTAATCCAGGAACATGGACAGAAAGGCTGGAGGTGACTACGTGAGCGTGGTGAAGGGACTTGGGCCCTGTTGTGAAGTCCTTTTTGCTTTCTCTCACCCTTACTTCCCTGAGTCCAGACTGGGGAATAAAATAAAAGAAGAGCCCCCCAGGGTTGGATAGGCCTGGGAGACTGAGAGGGAACTGACGCCTGGCCTCACGTGGGCATTCTACCTCCGCATGGGGAGCCAGAGTGACCTGGCCCGGGGAGTGGGCTCTCTTTCCTCTCCTGGGTGGGAATCTGCGAAGCTGCCCCCAGTGACCCTCTGTCGGCTCCCTTCTCAGCTACCCAATGCTGTTGCACGTGGCAGCCCAGATTGCTTCGGGCATGCACTATCTGGCCACACTTAACTTTGTACATCGGGACCTGGCCACGCGGAACTGCCTGGTTGGGGAAAATTTCACCATCAAAATTGCAGACTTTGGCATGAGCCGGAACCTCTACGCCGGGGACTATTACCGTGTGCAGGGCCGGGCGGTACTGCCCATCCGCTGGATGGCCTGGGAGTGCATCCTCATGGTGAGCAGCCTGAGGACAGGCAGGCGGGGGCAGGGCAGGTGAGAAAACACTGGCTGCCACTCACAGCCAGCCCTGGTCTCCGTCAGTCACGTACTTTCTCTGGATTGCATTTTACAGAACCTCTTCTGTAAAATGAGGTTCTCCTGGCCCGAGGGACTGGGGAAAGCAGGAGCTGCAGTGTGATGGGACAAGGGTCCAGGAGCCAGGAGTGGGTACTGGGGATGGAGACAGGGTGGCAGAGAGCTGGAGAGATGAGGAGAGGGAGGAAGCTGGAGATAGAAGGGGTTGGGTAGGGAGACCGAGGGTCAGGACCAGAATGTGGGCGTGGATGGAGAGGAAGGAGCAGCAGAAGGAAGAGGTGGGCCAGGGCCCTGGAGAGAGGACCAGAGCATGGAGAGGAAAGGCAGAGCCTGAGGGAGAGGAGGTGGAAAAGGTGGCCAGCAGAGGAGAGTGGAGAGCCTGGTGTGGGGAGGGATCAGGCCTGAGTGGAGCCCAGAGTGGACGTGGGGCTTCCGACAGGAAGGAGGAGGGTCTTGGTTGCCTGATGTCCCTGTCTGCTTTTGCTACCTTCTCTGCATCCCAGGGGAAGTTCACAACTGCAAGTGACGTGTGGGCCTTTGGAGTGACCCTGTGGGAGGTGCTGATGCTTTGCAGGGCCCAGCCCTTTGGGCAACTCACCGACGAGCAGGTCATCGAGAACGCAGGGGAATTCTTCCGGGACCAGGGCCGGCAGGTCAGAGTGGAGGAGAGGGAATATGGGTCCGAGGTGGGGGACGGAAGGGGCAGAGCTCGTCACCTTGGGACTAAAGAATATTTGTTCCCTCCCTCTCATCCACACTTCCACAATGCAGGTGTACCTGTCCCGGCCGCCTGCCTGCCCGCAGGGCCTATACGAGCTGATGCTTCGGTGCTGGAGCCGGGAGTCTGAGCAGCGACCACCCTTTTCCCAGCTGCATCGGTTCCTGGCAGAGGATGCTCTCAACACTGTGTGAATCGCACATCTAGCTGCCCCTCCCTCAGGGAGGATCCAGAGGAAGCCAGTGACATTAAAACAAGAGGAGCCAATGGCACCCCTGCCCTTCTCCTCCCGACGGCCTATCACCTCTAATAGAGGCAGTGAGACTGCAGGTGGGCTGGCCCACCCAGGGAGCTGATGCCCCTTCTCCCCTACCCGGATACACTCTCATGTCCCCTTCCTGTTCTTCTTTCCCAGAAGCCCCTGTTGCCCACCCAGCTGGCCCTGTGGATGGGATCCTCTCCAACCTCCTCTAGCCATCCCTTGGGGAAGGGTGGGGGGAAATATAGGACAGACACTGGACATGGCCCATCGGAGCACCTGGGCCCCACTGGACAACACTGGTTCCTAGAGAGGTGGCTGCACCCCCAGCTTCTCTCTCCCTGTCACACACTGGACCCCACTGGCTGAGCATCTGGGGGCTGAGGAGGACAAGGAGAGGAAAACCTTCCCTTGTGCCTGCTCCTGGACTTGTCCTCAGCTTGGGCTTCTTCCTCCTCCATCACCTGAAACACTGGACCTGGGGGTGGCCCCGCCCCAGCCCTCAGTCACCCCACTTTCCATCGGCGGTCTTGTAGCTAGAACTTCTCTAAGCCTGTACGTTTCTGTGGAGTAAATATTGGGATTAGGGGGAAAGAGGGAGCGACGGCCTGTAACCTTGGGGTTGGACATCTCTATCGTAGCTGCCACATTGATTTTTCTATAATCACTTGGGGTTTGTACATTTTTGGGGGGAGAGACACAGATTTTTACACTAATATATGGACCTAGCTTGAGGCAATTTTAATCCCCTGCAGTAGGCAGGTAATAATAAAGGTTGAGTTTTCCACAACTGTGAGTGGGTTTCTTGGGGATTTGGAAACTCTGCCCCCTGCACCTCCCTCTGAAACCACTTCCTGTCTTTCTTTTTTCCTCCCTCTCCCCATTCCATTCCCCATCACCTATTTTGCCCAGCATTGTGTTCTGTTTCTGCATAATCCAGGCCTTTGCCTGTGGGACCTCAGGAGATGCATGAATGTCTTGGTGCCTGAATCTTCTCAACCCAGAGGGGTGCTCTGCTGGAGGCCCAGCAGGAATGCAGTCAGGCCAGGGCTTCCGAATCTTTTTTGTGCCATAAACCCCTTTGGTAGGCTGTAGAGTTCTACTGAGTCCTCCTCAGAATTAGGTTATAAAAGTCCTCCTCAGAATTAGATTATAAACTTATAAAAGTTTTAAAATCTAATTCTTTTTGGAGAATTAGGTTTTAGCCACTGGGCTGGGCACAGTGGCTCATCCACGTAATCCCAGCACTTTGGGAGACTGAGGTGGGTAAATCACTTGAGGCCAGGAGTTCGAGACCAACCTGGCCAACATAGTGAAACCCCATTTCTACTGAAGATACAAAAATTAGTAGGGTGTGGTGGTGTGCACATGTAATCTGCAGCTACTCAGGAGGCTGAGGCAGGAGAATTGCTTAGAATCCGGAAGGTGGAGGTTGCAGTGAACCGAGATCCCGCCACTGTGCTCCAGCCTAGGCCGCAGAGTGAGACTGTCTCAAAAACAAAAACAACAAAACCCATCAAATGTACAGGATTATAAAGGAAACCAATAGGAACAGTTTACCAAATTCCTAAAAAATTATGAAAGTAATGTGCTTCTTATGAAAGTAATGTGCTTCTTTTTAATGTATTTAATAACAAGATCTAGAAACAGGTGTAATAACCTACTGACGTTTTCCAAATACTAATGAGCATAAGCCATACTTGAGATTTCCACAACAATCACAGTGAGACTTAAAAGGAGCTGTGGTATCAATTAGTGAGAAGTCGAAGGTACGGCTAAGAGTACTGGAGGTTTTACCCATATTCGTAATTGAAGGAAATGCTGAATTTCAATTAGAGGTTAGTAAAAATAAAGGTGTAATTTCTTTTTCCTGTCCAAATTCTAGAACCCATCTGGCTCCCCAGGGTCTGGAAATCCCAGGCTGGAATCCCTGGGTTAGGCCAGTCAAGTGTGCAAATGCCCCAGTGGGGGTGGGGGATGGGTTGTTGGGATGGAAACCAGAACCAGAAACCAGAACCAAGAGCCTCAGTTATCCCAGGCTTGGAAGGATGAGCTGCAACCACCAAGAGAGCAATTAACAGACGGGTTTAAATTTGGTTGGAAAGAAAAAATCGGCTGTTGTAATCCCAACACTATGAAAAGCAGAGGCGGGAGGATTTCTTGAGCCCAGGAGTTCAGAACCAGCCTGGGTTGAACATTGCGAGCCCACTCTGGCCCCCATTTCTATTAACAACAACAAGACAATTAGCTAGGCTTGGTGCACACCAGCAACTTGGGAGGTGGATGTGGGAGGATGACTTGAGCCCAGGAGGCTAAGGCTGCAGTGAGCCATGACCGAATCACTTTACTCCAGCCTGGGTGACAGAGCAAGACCCTGTCTTAAAAAAAAAAAAAAAAAAAAAAAAAAAAGTCAGTTGCAGGGATTGGACAAGGCAGTCTGATCTTGATGGCCATTCATGTGAAATAAAGACCCTGGGGTTTTGGTTGATGATGTTCACAAAATGAGCCAATTGGATAATGAGGATCACAATAAAGATAATTTAATGTGAAGCTGAATTAATAGGCTCTTGGGGCCTAGGTCACGGATCTAATAGTCCTGCTAAAACCTCCATGGGTCAGACCACTGTACACTATGATTTAAATTGTTAGATCCCAGAATAATGAGCAAAGGAAGCCACGGCAGTGAGCCTGATGACCCAAATCTCTCAGCCCAGAACTGTCTTTCAAGCTCTAGACCTACAGAACCACCTGGAGTTAATTTTTTTTTCCCTTGAGACAGAGTCTCACTCTATTGCCCAGGCTGGAGTGCAGTGGCGTGATCTTGGCTCACTGAAACCTCTGCCTCCTGGGTTCAGGTGATTCTTCTGCCTCAGCCTCCCAAGTAGCTGGGACTACAGGCACATACCACCATGCCTGGCTAATTTTTGTATTTTTAGTAGAGACGGGGTTTTACCATATTGGTCAGGCTGGTCTCAATCTCCTGACCTCGTGATCGGCCCGCCTCGATCTCCCAAAGTGCTGGGAGTACAGGTGTGAGCCACCGTGTCCGGCCTCACCTGGAGTTAATTTAAATGTCAGGCCCAGCTTGTCTAGACCTGCTCCTCCTCCACAGTCTCCTGATTCAGTGAGCGGCAGCATCATCCACTTAGCTGCACAAGCTGCACAAGGTGGCCTCCCTGACGCTCCTCTCCGTTACCTTCCACCTCCCAAGTCCAGCCCAGCACAAAGCGCTGTTGATTGTGCCTCCCACATCTCCCTGGAACTCGTCATCTCTATCTGCATCGCCTTCCTGCCACATGCATCTTGCCTGGATTCCTACAGTGGTCTCCAAGATGGTCACCCAGATCCGCCTCTGCTCCTCTCTGGGTTGTTTTCAGCCCTGCAACCACAGTTATCTTTAAAACACATAAATTTGACCCTACTCCTTTCTTTCAAACCCAGCAGTGGCTTTTCATGCATCTTAAAGAACAAAATCTTCCTGGCCAAGATTGGCCCCCACATGCCTCTCCAGTGTCCTCTCCCACCCGCTTGCTCTCCTCTGTGCACCACTGGCCTTCTTTGAGATTCGCCCAATGGGCCACAGTCCTTCCTACCACGTGGCCTTCGGAGCATGCTGTTCCCTTACCTGGAACAATGTTCCCTGCAGTCTGTGCCTTGTTAACTCCTGCTTGCCCTCCAGCAGTCTTTCCTGACTTCCCCAACTGGGTCAAATCCCCTACTGATAATCTCAGAGCATATGAATCTCTTCTTTGCAGCGCACGTAGTTACACAATTACATGTGTAATTTTACATGTATTTGTGCATGTATATATATTTTTTATACCTGTCCCTCCCGCTAAACTATAAGGTGCGCAAGGGCAAATTCCTGGAATGCAGGGCTCAATATGGGTTGACAGAAAGAACTGTATCAAATATCTGATGGACTGACATAGATTCTGTGTAGTTACAGAACTAGAACTAGGATTAATAAGTGAAAGTTACAATAAGAATCATGATGACATATTACTGAGCATTCACTATATGCCAGGTATTGAAATTACTACATATTATATCTTAATACAACAATAAATGAAGTAGTTAAAATTACTTCACAGAGAAAAGAATTCTGTTAGGTTAAGCAATTTGCCCAAAGTAGCACAGTTAACAGCGAAGCCTGTTGGAAGTGGGCCTGTGGGCTCCTGGCTCTCTGCTCTTTTTTTTTTTTTCTGAGATGGAGTCTTGCTCGGTAGCCCAGACTGGAGTGCAGTGGCACTGATCTTGGCTCACTGCAACCTCTGACTCCAGGGTTCAAGTGATTCTCCTGCCTCAGGCTCCTGAATAGCTGGAATTACAGACACCTGCCACCACGCCTGGCTAATTTTTGTATTCTTAGTAGAGACGGAATTTCACCATGTTGGCCAGGCTGGTCTTGAACTCCTGACCTCGTGATCCACCCGCCTCAGCCTCCCAAAGTGCTGGCATTACAGGTGTGTGCCACGGTGCCCGGCCTATTTATTTAAATAATTTATAAGACACAGAGTCTAACTCTGTGGCCAAGTTGGAGTGCAGTGGTGTAATCGTAGCTCACTGCAGCCTTGAACTCCTGGACTCAGGCAATTTTCCTACCTCAGCCTCCTGACTAGCTAGGACTACAGGTGTGTGCACACCCAGCTAATTTATTTTTCTTTCTTTTTTCTTTACTTTTTTTTTTGGAGATAGGGTCTCACTCTACAGCCCAGGCTGGAGTGCAGTGGCATGATCACAGCTCACTGTAGCCTGGACCTCTTGGGTCCAAACAATCCCCCTGCCTCAGCCTCCTGAGTAGCTGGGACCACAGCACCAGGCCTGGCTAATTTTTTAAAATTTCTGATATTTTGTTTAAACTTTCTTTTTGCTTTGGCCAATCTTTCTTTCTTTCTCGTTCCTTCTCTCCTGCTCCCTACCCCTTGCCAGTTCTCCCCTCCCCAATTCTCCCCTGTCCTCTCCTCTCTTCCCCTCTCCTTTTGAGACAGGGTGTCATACTGTTGCTCAGGCTGGAGTGCAGTGGTGCTCTCACTGCTCACTGCAGCCTCAATCTCCTGGGCCCAAGTGATCCTCCCACCACAGCCTCTGGAGTAGCTGGACTGCAGCAGCACACCAGTACACCCAGCTAATTTTTTTTTTTAATTGCATTTTAGGTTTTGGGGTACATGTGATGAACATGCAAGATTGCTGCATAGGTACACACATGGCAGTGTGCTTTGCTTCCTTCCGTCCCCTCACCTGTATCTGTCATTTCTCCCCATGCTATCTCTTCCCACCTCCCCACCCCCCCGCCCCTCCCCCATTTCCCCCCAACGGACCCCAGTGTGTAGTGCTCCCCTCCCTGTGTCCATGTGTTCTCATTGTTCAACATCCGCCTATGAGCGAGAATATACGGGGTTTGATTTTCTGCTCTTGTGTCAGTTTGCTGAGAATAATGGTTTCCAGGTTCATCCATGTCCCTACAAAGGACGTGAACTCATCGTTTTTGATGGCTGCATAATATTCCATGGTGTATATGTACCACATTTTCCCTATCCAGTCTATCATCGTTGGGCATTTGGGTTGGTTCCAGGTCTTTGCTATTGTAAACATTGCTGCAATGAACATTCGTGTGCACGTGTCCTTGTAGTAGAATGATTTATAATCCTTTGGATATATACCCAGTAATGGGATTGCTGGGTCAAATGGGATTTCTATTTTTAGGTCCTTGAGGAATCGCCACACTGTCTTCCACAATGGTTGAATTAATTTACATTCCCACCAACAGTGTAAAAGTG